CCTGCCTTTTCTCATATAGGCCATCCAGCTCTTCTCTACCCGGATCACCATACTGATGCTCTGAGCATCAAGCCTGCAAACTTCCAGCAACGGTGAGAAAGCTGTGAATGTTTACCTCACATTTATGAACATATTTTTGCACCCTTTACAAAGGCCTGACACCCAAAGATTATGATATTTTTCCATTTGGAGGGACATTTGAATAACATATAAAGTTTTGCTCCATATGGAAATTATTTTGGTATAAGGAATCTCCAGGGAAACCCTTCTCTTTTCCTTTCTCCTAAATGGCTTGCTATTGCCCCACTATTGGCTTATATATTCCTAAAATCCACTCCTTCAAAGCAGAGTCTTCGCATCTGGGTTAAAAGTAGATTAGGGAGTTAGACCACCTGAGTTCAAATCTTGGTTCTACCACTTACCAGCTGTGTGGCCTTCATTCCGTGACTTACCCTCTCTGTGGCTCAGTTTTTATTTTGATAAAAATGGTAAAAATGTAATTTTATAGAGTTTTGTACGAGGATTAAAACAATTGTCATGTATGATGTACTTAGGAGGCACGCAGTAAAAGCACTTATCATTATTTATGATTGTTAGGCATAGTATTTGTAATTACAATGATTAGAAAGCAAAGTTTAGTGACATGACATTAAGCCATTCTTGAGGTCCTTGCCTTGCTGCCTGTCCAAAATTATCTTGTTATTATTTTTTAAAACTTTAATCTTATTGTTTGAGTTCATGAACATTCTGACCGGGCTTTCCTTTCCTCATCTCCAAAGGCAAGATCCAGTTCTAAAAAACCTTTCCGGAAGCTTCTACCGCCACATGAGTGCTTCAGACTTCTTGAGCTGCTAGACAAGGTCCAAACATTTCAGACTCTGCGGGCCAGATCCTGCTGTTGTAACACGAAGGCAGCCACAATCCAAAGAACCAAGTCAGCATGACTGTTTCAATGAAGCTTTATTTATAAAAACAGGTGGCAGGTCAGATTTTGTCCCCAGGTTGTGGTTTGTCCACCACTGTATTAGAGGAAGAGGCAGAAGAGCAGATGATTGTTTTGGGTGGGGTAAGACCCTGACCATCAAGAGAAATAGGTTTGCTGCTACACAGTGGGGCTGGAGGGAGGATGATAAAAACCCAGAATCCCCACCACATGTCTCGAATCCACATGCCACTAGACCAGTAGACCAGAGGGAGTGAGAGACGGCAGCCACTCCACATCAGCAGGTCCTCCACGAGATAGATCCTTCTAGAACAAAGTTCTCTTTCTTGGGCCACGAACCACCAGCCAGCCTAGGAAACTACAGGTCCCAAGACCAGATGTAGCATCTAGATCTATAACTCCCACCCGTATTCCCTTTCTTGTTCTCAGAGTGTCTGAAGACTGAATTATCTCCTTTTCCTTTTTTATGTTGCCTTGGAAGATGACTGTGCTCATAATTTCTATCGTCCTTCTTCCTTTGCCCCGATCATTGATAATGGTGTTTATCAAGCTCAACTATCAGCGCCACCTGAGGAGCTGCTGAACCTTTAGATTCTACGTCCACCATGTGGGCCCTAAGTCACACCGTAGAAAGAGAGGCCGCAGACAGAACTCAAGGGGAAATGGGCATGGCCTTGAGAGTTGTGCTTACATCCTTAGTTGTGCCGGTGGGACACAACGCAGGGTTGCCGCCTACTGAGGAAGCAGTGTGCACACTTACAAGTGTATGGAGGGTGACTGGACGGAGTCCCACGAGGTGTCTTTGTAAAAAGGGGTGCTGTGTACGTACACGCACGCTGGGCACTGGGAGAGTAGAGTGGGAGAGCTGCCTGCTGGGCTCTTCTCTGGGAACTTCCGGCCCATGTCCGGTGTGGGGGGCGGGGATCATCGGTCATTCTGCTCTTGCTACAGGATCTGCCCCTCCCCCCACAACCGACTGGTTCAGAGACCCTAACTGGGCTAATCAGATATCCTATAATGGCTTTAGCATGGCAAGAGGAGAGACACAGAGATGAGGAATTGTCTGGATCTCATGGAAAGATCCATGCACTCTTGCTGCCAAGGCCACACAGCCGGCCTTGTTCCCTCCCTCCCTGAGTCCTGAGCAGTCAGCTCTTCTTTGAATTCTATAAATACCCCCAAATCCTTCCAATGAGTTGTCTTCCTTGTTTTTTGTTGTTTTTTTTTAAAAAAAAGTGGTATGAAAGTAAAGGCTGGGGACCAAAACTGGATTCAGAAACGAGGCTAGAGACGCACCCTTCACACCCCTTGTACAAAGGCAGCTCTGAGATGGCCAGCATGTAACAGAGCTGTGACGTGATCAGTGTCCACTGCAGACAAAACAACCCAGTTGCTCACAAGTTCAGCTATTCTTGGGACCAAGGCTGGACAGGAATTGTCTCCCCGGGGCCTTGTGGAATGAACAATGACTTTGTGATGCTCTACCAATGGACACAGTGGGTCTCACGGGCTGTTTCTCGTAAAGACCCTCCATGCAGACTGATGAGTGACATTACTCTCAGGCTCCATCATGTGAAATCAGTACTGGGGCAGCAGGGAGAAATATACAGTCTGGGGACCTTGATCCAGGAACTGATTCAAGTAGGAGGAAAAAGATGGCATAGCCTCCAAGCACGCCTCCTTTGAGCACACTTGTAGACCAAGTGGCAAGAAGCCCAGGTGATCCTCCTCCCAGGGAAGTAGGGCACCTCCCCTGGAAACAGACCTTCATTAATGACAGGCCTGGCAGGGTTGGCTTCCATTTGGGGAAAGCCAAGGTCCTGGGCTCGGTGGTTCAAGGGCAATAGCGTGGGCAGTCACCTTGGGACCAGGCCTACTCTGGTGTGAATATCCCCTCCTGGGGAGCTTCTGTGGAGAAGCCAAGCACCCACCCCCACCTAATCAATGCTGTCTTCATGAGCAACCACAGCCAACCAGGGCCTTCCTGAGCTCAGTCTACAGCTGCCTGGCCAGATGGTAGGGAGGAGCCCTGACAAGCTTTCCTACTCCATAACATCTTAGAAGACAGACCTTTGAGACAGTATTTTCTGGCAAAGAACATTGAAGAGCCTTTTAAAATGCCTAACAGAAAAAGGCAGCATGGACTTCCGCTTCCCAGGGAGCTGAAAGGCCGGCCCATCCTCACCAGCCAACATCCCACCCTCCCCGACCCTGTATCTTGGCTGCTCCTTTCTCCCCTCAGAAATGACCTTGGTCTTCACAGCCTGACCACTCTACACCCACAAATCCTCTCCATTCCCAGCCCATGATGTGACCTGTCCATCTTGGCTTTTCCTATATAACCCGTGTACTGGTGTTGACGGTGTCCCCCCAATTCATGCCTTTCCAGGAGCCTCAGAATGTGACCTTTTTGAAAGGAGGGTCATTGCAGATATAATTCATTAAGATGAGATGAAATCATACTAGAGTAGGATGGTCTGTTAACCCAAGATTTAGCTCTTCCAAGAAGAGGAGCAGAGACCCAAAGACACAGACACACGAGGGAAAGATGCCCTGTGATGACAGAGGGAGAGACAGGGTTTGGAATGATGCTTCTCTAAGCCAACGGGCACCAAAGGTTGCTGGCACCACCAGAAGCCCAGAGGAAGACACGGAACAGATTCTTCCCGAGACCCTTCAGAGGGAGCACCACCCTAGTGACATCTTGAATTTGGACTTCTGGCCTCCAGAAATGTGAGGGTATAAATTTCTGTTGTTCAAACCACCCAGTTGTTACGGCAGCTCTGGGAGGCTAATACAACCTAGTTCTGTTATAACCAACACAGGCGTGATGCCGCCATTGAAGAAACAAGATATCCTGATGTAGATCTGCCTGCCGTCCCCTCCTCTTAGAGGATATTTGAGAGTTTCAGGATCTCTGTCAAGGAAGCTGGGGATGCTCTCTAGAGCATTAGGATGTCAGTGCCCGGACACGCCCCTCCCTACTGGGCTTTGTATACATAATTCCCAACTGCATGTCACTCAGTAATGTTTGCTGGAGGGCCACTCTGTCCCATGACACTCGTGCATTTACGCTTAGGTCCAGTCATTGAGGGGGATGATGTTAGGGGTACTAGCAACAATACCTTACACCACACAAAAAGGAAAAGAGCCCCCCACCCTTTCCTTCTGAGTCACGGAGACTGAATTTGCACTCTGTGCCTTGGCTGTGCCGATCAAGTGCTGCTTTATTCTGCAGGTCCTAAGTGTACATGCAATCTGGAAAGAAAGGAAGACGACCGCACACCTCTGATGCCCAAGGGCAAGTTTGTTTTCCAAATCACTGCCGTCCCAAATAGGAGCTTTCTGCGTCATCAGAAAGACTCAGAAGGCATGGGGAGATGCCTAAGACACGGGGAAGGAGAAAATCAACTCCATCTACTTTATGGTTTGCCTCTTATACTTCCGGTTATGATCAACAGTGCTCCCAACTGAGAGTATTTTATCTTTAGGTCACAGATACTCATGAGCCTAAAGAACTCTCTCCTAAACCCACATTCCCTTCCCTTGTTTCTCTAGTAAATCAACCCTAGCTGCCCAGCGCCCCAAACAGAAAGTCAGGATCTGCCAGAAACAGGTCCATTCAAACCCCGCAAAACCATGCCACCTACAAGTAGCGAGGGCCACGTCTGGCATAGCAAACCAAGGTCTGGGCCCTCTGGCCCTGGGTATGCGCCGAAGCTTAGCTTGCTGCCGCTACTGATTTCAGGGAAGGCTATGGGCCCAGGTTTCATGTGGCTGTCCTTACAAGTCACACTGTGAGTGTTGGGATGTTTGCAGTTACCCCTATACCGACCACTTCATGTAGGAAGAAAGTGACGGGGGAAACCAACCATGTTCTGGAGAGACAGCTGTCCTTGGGGGAGCAGACAAGACACACGCACTCAGCACCAAGTCACAAATCACCGACAGCCACCCGGCCAGCCCGGGCGCCCTGCAAATGGCACCATGGCCCACTGGCCCTAGAAGGTCCCCAGCAGCCCAGCACCCACCTGAAACAATAGCATCAATGTCTTACTTTTTCTGGAGCGGGAGAAGAACCTGATGCCCCCGGGTGAGGTAGACGGGTTGGAGTTGGGGGAAGATTCTTTGGATGAAGAGCGAAAGATCCCACTGAAGCTCATTCGGCGTGGGGAGCGGGGTGGGGACTCCTGGTAGGAGAACGGGAACACGGTTTTGGGAGAGCCAGGGCTGGTCTTGGGCCTCACGGGAGCAGACACGGGGCTGGAGGGCCGGTGCTGGGGGCCTCTAGAGAAGAACCCTTTGGAGGGGCTGCCCGAGCTGCAGGGGCTGTCCACCTGGGGAGAGACAGACAAACGGATGGGTCATTCCGAGCACAGGCACTCAGCCCTCAGTCCTGAACGGATCTGTCCCTCCCAACATTCTCTATCATCAGGCTGCTCCTCCAAGGCACCCTGCCCCAGAAACAGCCCTGAGTTTTTGTACAAACATAGGTGGCCGCCCCGTGGTCTGGAGGAAAGCACCTGACCCAAGGATGGCCCATCCACAGGCTCCTCAGCACCACCCAAAGGCCCACTGACCTCCGTCGCCAGCTCTCTAGAAAGAGGTTCCTGGAGCGGAGGGGAGGACCAGAAAGGTAGCAAGATGGCTCGAGACGATGCATCCTCTCTGTAGGTCTGTCCCCTGGCCTTTACTTCTTAAAACCCGACATTTTTCTTTCTCGAGGTCTTACTACACTGGCGTGATGTTCTCTTGGCCCTCATTGAAGGAGGAAATGGGCATCTGAAACCCAGTGGGCCTGGGGCTCCGGCCTGAGGTGACCTGGCGCTAGGCAGCATGTATTTTCCCCTCCAAGCTCCTGTGGCATTGGGACGACAAGGGGCTGCTGACAGAGCTCAGGAAGAAGGTGAACAAGGCCCATAACCTTGGAGGCACACTTCATTGATGACATGACCTTGACGGTTTGAGAAACCTCTGGACTCCGTCTATAACTTTAAGCCGAGGCACACAGCTCACAGACTTTGAGGAATATCGAATGTGTCCTGCTGGGGGGCTCAGGGGCTGGCACCTGCAGCCTGAGGGGAAGGGTTTGACCCCAGCTCACCCCTCACTGGGCCATCCCGAGTCACTTAGTCTCACTGTGCCTCAGTTTCCTTATCTGTAAGACCAGGTGTCGTGCCCACCCTGATGCACAGGAACCATACTCTGCACGTCCAGCTGCTCTGGCAAACTTGCAACACAGGGTCCAGAAGGATCTCAGGGCCTACCTGACCCCACAGAAGGAAAGAACAGCGGCTTGTCTGCAGGGCTCATGGGGCACAGAGGATGCCGGGCAGGGAAGCAGCCAGCACGCTGAGACCCTGGGATGCCACATGGCAGGTGGCCACAGGCACACGAAGGTAGGTGAGCCCGCGCCCAGGGGCAGCATCTGTGCGGCTCTGGCCTCTGTCTGCACGGGGTGCCCGTGGGGGGCCCAGGGCCCCTGTGAGCTGTCCCACCACCAGAGGGCACCCCAAACTGGGCTTGCGGCTCCTTCCAGGAGGCTGTGCCCTCGTGGGGACCCCTTCGGTGACGCTCAATCACAAGTCACTTCTCCCTGCAACTCCCCACGCTATGCTAAAGGGCCCGCGTGGCCACATGGGGGGTGCACAGGCTGGCCCCGTGCCAGTACCTTGGGTGAGTGAGTTTCCAAGCCGGGGGCCATGCACAATAGCCACATCACGCAAGCACGTCTCCTTCTAGAGAGGCTAAGTTTTTCGTTATCCATTTAATATGAAAAGCATTTAATCCTCCGATCCCTGTCCTCAGAGCTCCGGGTCTTGCCACTCTCCCCCCTACCTATGGGACTCAGGCTTTCTGGAGTTTTTCTGAACCCCAAGGAGAAGCTCTCCAGGCAGGAGATGTGCCTGTGGACGTGGGAGGTGGGGGCGGGGGCAGGGAACAGCACACAAGGGATGGAAAATGACCCTACAGCACACAAGCAAGGAGTCTGGACACAGGGACTGGAGTTGGGATCCCGGCTCAGTTTCCGGCAGTGTGGACAAGTGACTTAAGCTTCAGGGTCCTCCTCCATCCAGTGGGGCTATGAGGCCGACTCACAGGGTCTGTGGTTGACGGGATCTACGACAGGGAAGCATCTGGTACACTTTCTGGCACATGGTAAGTCCTCCATGCGTATTTGATCCACGCTCCTCGTCACGAATTTGAAAGGAATAGTTGCTTGATATTCGTGGAAGTCAGGGAGGCCGGGGCGAATTATGGAAGGACGCCACATGTGGTGTAAGAACCTCACTCTTCTTTGAGGCTTTTTAGCAAGGGAGTGGCATAATCAGATTCGTGCAGGGCAGACCATCTGGTAGCCTCTCCCATCACTCGCCGAGTGCCACTAGCCCGAGGCCAGGAGAAGCGGCCAGCTGGAGGCAGGGTGAAGGTCACAAAGCTGGTAAGTGGCGGCATGGGACTTCAGGGCCCATGGCCTTAACCCTTACACCATATCCCTCCCGAGAGCGGCAGAAATAGCTGGGAGAGGGAGCAGCCTGGCAGATGCAAAATGGAGTCAAGATCAAGTCTGAGGGCAGAGGCAGAAAGTCACGTTTAGGAACTACTTGCAAGGCTAACCCCACAGGGGAGCCCAGTGTTTGCCATGTTCTGCACGGTGCTGGGAGCTCTGCAGGGAGAAGGCAGGACCGCGGAGCAAGTGCTCGTGTTCGAGTCTGGCGGGGGACAAGACGGAGGATGGCAGGCCAGGTGTTGCTGCCATGGGCACGAAGCCAAGGAAGAAAGGGTGACCTGGACACAGTCAGAGAAGACCCTGAAAGCTGATGGGCTTTGGACAGGCTGATGGGCAGAGGGCAACCAGAGCCTGAGAAGGAGGAGACAGAACGGGAAGCACAGAGAGCCACTTTCTTGGGCTGCCACAGACGGGTGGGGCCAAACGCCACCGGGGAGCCAGTCACAGAGGGCCTGAGTGCTGGCTTGAACCTCCTTCAATAAACCAGGGGGAACTCTAGGGTTCTCCTGCCTGGGAGTCCATTCTGTACTGAGACTTCCAGGACAACTGGGTCAGGCACTGAGGAGGGAACCCACAGAAAGTAGACCTTTCCCCAAAAAGACCAAATAACGGTGGACATGGCCTGGCTTAGCCTTCTCCTATGGGGGGGACCGGGAGAGCCTAATCATGCTCCCCAGCAGTGGGAAAACGAGATGGCCAAGCATGCCCACCATCTGCTCCCCGCCCGCTGGGTGGGGGTGATGCTGATCCGGGTGCCAACAGAAGCTGCCAGGGACAGGGCCTCGGCTCATGCCTATTAGCAAGCTGCGATCAAACAGAACTTTGATAAATGTCATTGGATGGTTCCCTGCACTGGGATGAACAAAAGGGCCCAGAGACCCCCAAGTGGGTGCAGGCTGTGCAGGAGCTAATGGGGGGCGATCTGGAGATCCTGGCATTGACCTTCCCCCAGAGGCTGGCCTGGGAACTACATACCTCAGCTGTGCGGGGTCAAGGGGACCAGAAGCTCCTCACAGACACACGGTATGTGAAAAAGAGCTGCCGCCTCAGGGGGCAGGGGCAGCAAGACAGGGGTAAAGTGAGGGGGCCTGGGAGATTGCATGAACTGATATTATGGAACGCCAGGCTGGGGTCCTGGAGTAGTCAGGGACATCTGTGAAGGGGAGCCCAGGTAGGGCCATCTGTCTCACTACGCGTGGGCTCCTGGGACGCAGAGGCGGCTGCCGAGCATCTAACTGTTCCCACACATCTGCGCCCGAGGAGCCTAGCGGCACCTCCCGCCCTCTTTGGCCACCCACATCACGTCCGCAGAAAGGTCTAGCTGTCGGGAGAACCTAACCCACATTCCCCTTCACAGGGGTGTTTACATTTCGATCTGGATTGCGAAGACGAAAGGATGGAATTTGGCAGGGGAAGAGGGCCGCCCTTCCAAGGCAGTTTGGAAATTCTTCTCAGTAGTGGCCTAACTCTCCTTTCAAAAAGACTGGCCCTATGTCTATATAATTCGAGGTCACTGGAGTCTAATGGAAAGGAGAATTGCCAAGGTTCAAGGATCAGGAGGAGGGAAGGCCTGCCCTCTGGGGATGGGGCAGGGGTGGGTGTGGGGAGGCCAAGGGAAGGCCACGGGCAGCAAGGTCAGTGGGAATCCCAAGCATCCCCGCCCTGTCCACTTGCATCCAGCATGGTTTTCATCTGAGGCCTGTCTCCAGGTTGTGTTGGGGAGAAGCGCCTTCCCAGCTAACCAGGCACTTAGGTCCCCCCATCTCCTGTGTTGGTCAGACCCTCTGGAACAATTCTCTGCCTTCTCAGGAGTTCACACCCTCATTTCCCGCGAGGCCACAGGCTAGCGAGGCCCGCGTCCTACACATCACCATCACCAATGTCCTGCAGCATTCCAAGGATATAGTAAACCCTCCAAGGTCCCTCTCCGGCTCTGGAGTCACTCATTTGTGACAGTGATTTTGCTATGGGAGCCCCCAAAGTGGGGGCCGGTGGGGCTGGATGAAGCCCCAGTCCTCACTGTGGGTCTTTACTGCGTTCACAGTTCTGCCTTAGGTTTTCACTTGAAAGAAGGGCTTCGCGGAGTCAAACCCTTGGAAGCCAGCCTGCGAGGAGGAAGAGCCCACCCTGCAGCCTCGGACCTTGCCCCGCTGGGCTGGGAGCTCTGCAGCTCCTTCCTGAGGACATCCTCTGAGCACCGTCTCGGGTTGGGCCGCAATGACTGCTCATCAGGTCACTTGCTCATTCAGGACCGGGAGCTGAGGCCAATGGAAACCCACAGGCCTAAACCACTATGTTGCCTTAATTGTGTGCAATTCAGAATGCTTAGAGAACAGGCTAGCTTTTCCAGCACTGGAGCTCCCGCCCCAACCCCAGGCTGGCCAGTACCTAGAGCCAAAGAATTGTGTGGCTCTGTATCTCCACTCTCAGTCACTGCTCACGGCACACGGGAGGCTAGCCCCCTCTGGAAGCCACCTCCCACCAGGCTGTGGGTAATGGGGCCCAGGAAGGACTTGCCACCCAGCTCCCTGTGTACCCCCTCAGTCTTGACTGCAGGCTGCCTTGACCTCCCCTTTCTCACCATGCCCAAAGACCCTTACAGGATACACACTCCTCCTTGGCTGCCTGACCCGACAGGGCCACCAGCCTTATTAAGTTGCTGACCAGCCAGTGGGGGAGGGGAGGCAGTGAGCTAAAGAGAGGCAAGGAAAAGTGGCATGGAGACCAAAGGGAAGGAAGGCCTGGAACAGGGCGAGGGTGGGGGCATGGCAGGTGGAAGGAACTCCTGTCCAGGATGGGACAAGCTGAAAGCCTCGGATGGTCTCCAAATCTCCCATTTACTGATACTTTTAGCCTCTTCTCTTGGCTTATTGTTGATCTTCCACATTACCTCTGCCTACTTTGGGGAGTCTAGGGGGCCATGGCTGAACCCAGATGGAGAAGAAGCGAAAGGAGCAAAGCCCAAGAGGCTCTCAAATTAGACAGCCGGCAGGTATGAGGGGCATGGCCATGTGCCCAGTGGGTAAGCAGGTGGGAGTGCAAGTAGCAGCAGAGGTGGATGTGCAGGTGGGAGCAGGTGGATGAGCAGGTGGGAGCAGAGGTGGGTGTGCAGGTGGGAGCAGGTGGATGAGCAGGTGGGAGCAGAGGTGGGTGTGCAGGTGGGAGCAGGTGGATGAGCAGGTGGGAGCAGAGGTGGATGTGCAGGTGGGAGCAGAGGTGGATGTGCAGGTGGGAGCAGAGGTGAATGAGCAGGTGGGAGCACAGGTGGATATGCAGGGGGGAGCACAGGTGGATGAGCAGGTGGGAGCAGAGGTGGATGTGCAGGTGGGAGCAGGTGGGAGCACAGGTGGATAAGCAGGTGGACATTTGTCCTGGGCTCTCACTGAGGGAGTCTTGCCTCAGTGGCACCTAAGGTGAGCCGTGAGAAGCTGTGAGAAAGGTGGCCTTACCTTACGAGAAGAATGCTTTTCTGAGCTCTCCAGGTCTCCGTCCAGGAGTGGCATGGCAAAGGAACTCAGGTCCTGGATGGAAAGAGAGCATATGGTCAATGGAGTGGCCCTCAGTTGCCCATCCAGCCTCGTCCAAGGGCAGCACTGGCCCTATGCACATGCCACTGCCCCCTTCTTGAGTCCTCCATGAGCACCCACCCCCAGGGAGGGGTGTGGATGCAAGTGGAGTAAAAGGAGGGGTGACAACATGCTAGCTTCCTCATAGAACCTGACCATGCTCACATTCCCTTCCAGAACATAAGGCTACACTGCCCCCCATCACCACGGGGGAGGAGCAAGGAGAAGAGGCCGGGACTGGAGGCAGGAGGGAAAGCGTCCCAGGAGGAAAGCAGGAGTGGAGAGCAAAGGCTTCTCAGCATCTTGGGGATGGCTGACGGACAGAACCTCATCTCAGGACACAGAACATGGGGCCTCGAGGAAGTGGTCCAGGACGTGCGTCTTCCTGGGAGAGATGACAGGGGTCTCATGGGGAGGAGCACGGGGCTGGCGGCTGAGGGGGTGGGGATGGTCAATGAAGCTGGGTACCACTGTGGCCAAGAGGAGTGGCGAGTGCCCAAACCCGGGTCACTTCCCCATCAGCCCTGCTCCTCCTCCCCCTGGTCTCACCAAGTCACTACCTCCAGAGCCCGAAAGAAGCCCCCTGGGGGAAGTCTACCAGGATAACTTGCCTGAGTCCTTAACCTTTCTTTTTTCCTGCTTTTTATTGTGGTAAAATACATGTAATGTAAAACTTACCATCTTAACCATTTTAAGCATACAGTTTAGCAGTGTTAAATACGTTCACATTGTGCCACCATCACCACCATCTGCCTCCAGAACTTTCTCATCTTGCAAAACAGAAACTCTGTCCCCATAAGACAACTCCCCATCCCCTTCCCCCAGAGCCTGGCGCCCACCATCCTACCTTCTGTCTCTATGAACATGACAAGGCCACCACCTCATGTAAGTGGAATCATACAATATTTGCCTTTTTTGTGACTGGAATATTCTATGTAAGCATAATGTCTACAAGTTCCCCCATGATGTAGCTTGTGTCAGAGTTTCCTTCCTTTTAAAAGTGAATATTCCACAGTATTCAGATGACTGGATAAAGAAGATGTGGTATATATATATACAATGGAATATTATGCAGCCATCAAAAGGAATGAGATCTTGCCATTTGCAGCGACGTGGATGGAACTGGAGGGTGTTATGCTGAGCAAAATAAGTCAATCAGAGAAAGACATGTATCAATGACCTCACTGATATGAGGAATTCTTAATCGCAGGAAACAAACTGAGGGTTGCTGGAGTGGGAGGGGGTGGGAGGGATGGTGTGGCTGGGTGATAGACACTGGTTGGGGAGGGTATGTGCTATGGTGAGCACGGTGAATTGTGCAAGACTGTTGAATCACAGATCTGTACCTCTG